CGTTTCTTTGAGTAATTCTATCATAAACTGTTTCTCTTTTCAGACACAATTTTCATTGTAAATTTTGATAAATTTCATGATAATCCCGGTGACGTTATCGTTATATAAATCTGGAGAAATCCATCAGATGTTTCACCGTAATAAGGAGACTTATCGAGGATCCGCTAGGATGGTGTACAGAGAAATCTTTGACTACTCTACATTCTTCTCGGTGACACCCAACAAAGGACATAACCTAACAGACACGATGATAGTACCCCGCTGGAGGTAGCCACATGTTATATTAGTATACCGCTATAATATTTTACCAAATGTCCTACTGGACAAATTGTAAAATACAAATGAATAAATAAAAAAAAAAAAAATTCTTCTCGGTTGCACGAAATTCTTCATCATTGGAAACGGCGAAGTAAAGGTCAAAAGGTATATGAAAATTTCCTCGAATCAAAGCCAGAGAAATGATCTACTTTCAATAGTTTCTTAAATGATGCATTGAGAGCATAAGTCAGCTAACTCGAATACTCAACAGACTGAAAAATTCGTCGTCAGTGACGTTTGATTTAGTTACGTTATCTGGATTTCATTTGGAAATAACGAATTCGCTCACTTTCGTACGATCGATACTGCTTGTTGGAACAGACATTTAGGAAAAATGTGGCTTGGTTCATTTTTGCCTCCAATACTTCAAGTCAAGAACAAGCATCAAGTATTTATTTCATTAAAAGGATCAACCGGGTTGATCGATCGATCAATCAGGGACGACATGAAATGATTCTCCATGAAATGATTATGATTGTGCTGCGTTGAATCGCTGATTCCAGCTCGATGTTATCTAACCTTATCTAAGCGAACAAGTGGTTCAGCAACAATAATAACTCGCACCTTCTTGAAAGTATGGTTACGAGTTTACAAGTTTCCTGAAACCTTGTCATGATTCCACTGCGCAATCGTAGCTGATAAGAGAAAATAAGATTTGCCAGCATTGAAAGTTCAGTCTGAATTCGATCAACATTTCATTGGTATTGTGGAAAGTCTTTTGCACGATCTTAAGTTCTTCTTCCGGTTCTTTTCTGCTATTTTTCGTATATGTTTCGTATATCGTACTGTTCTCGGTGAACAGAGAGGGAAATTTGAAATAGAAGTAGATGCCGTAAGTCCGGAAGTAGCTAAGGCTACTAAAGGGCTGAATAGCCAATCAACAAAGAATTTTCGGCGAAAACGAATGAAAGATTGCGATTCAAAGTGATTGAGGATTTCCTGTACAGATGGCAACCGTTTTAGCTACGTTTTCGGTCCTCAAGGACCATGTCAAGTTGAAGATTTCACAGGACACAGTGGCCATTGATAATATGGGTAATAAGAATCGTGACACAGAGATATTTCATAGCTTCGCGAAAAGAAAGTTGAAACATATCTGATTTAATATGTAATTTTGAATGATTCCTTGACTGATAGACTGGAGTTATTTATTAAAATTTGTAATTTTATGAATGATACCGGAGAACTCTAACCTGCTCTTACTTTTACTCTATTTTCAATATTTTACATATTTTTACATATTATGTACGTCCTACGTGTATTCGCTTTATATTCTCCGTAAATGCATAAAAATCTATTCGTTTGTTTTAGTTTGTTATTATCGCTCGTCCTCGTCCTTGTCTTATTTAATTTATATAAAGTCACCTTGAATGTTTTCCTTATTCTTCGTTTCTTCCTTTTTTGATGAAATTATTAATTGTTGAATATGATTAGTTTTCAAGCTACACTACAGAGTCACGTTTTTGATACTCTTGGCCAGTACGTTGATGGTGACAGCTAAACAATTTATCGGAGAACATATCAGGTAATGTTGTAATATTGTTAATAAAATGTGAAAATATCTTACGATATTTCAGTATATTTCTAGTTATTGGATTCCCATTCATTCGTCTTCCCTGTTAGTGTTATCAACTAGTACATACTAAAATTGAGATATTGGTTCTGTTCTCCGTTTAAGAAGGTCTCGATAATATTCGATTAAATTGCGAAACTAATAAACTGCCTGTCTCTATTAGTTACAGACAGAAGCGTTATATATTTGTGTGTAGAATTTTGTTGCCTTTTATATATTTTCAGAAGGACTAAAATAGAAAATATTTATCGAATGAAGACGAGTCGATAGTTGAACCATTCATCGCTCACTGAAAATTGTACGTTTTCCATTTATTGAGAAAGAATTTTTTACACGAGAGAAGATTATTTGAATTAGTGCATTAATATTATCTTTATGATAAAACATAAAACAAATAATTATTTTTCTTGATAAGAAATATATTCTTAATAAAATTTGTTAGATTTGCATTTTTTCACAGACTTTTGTTTAATTATTCATTGCATAAAACTTTACCCGCAAATTTAAAGTCATAGAACTCCGTGACCCACAGATTAAACATTAAGGTCAATTAGAGACGCTAATGAAATAAATAACCATATTTGATGTTATGTTTTATCGATAAGGTGTATCGGTGGACATGGAATGAGCGATGATGTACTGAAAGTAATCAACACCTACTGCTTTTTTACGTCTACTTACACTGTGGTAAATATTAATACTAATACAGTAGATTCCATTTATTCACTTATCGTCTTCTTTAAACTATTTTTTTAATACGATCAGATTAACCCTAATTAATTTCTAATACTTGGATCTTCGTCAAATTTTCGAATTTTGTTTAACATATAATTTGTAACAAGAATATTAAAATATTAAAGTACATTAGAATTTATATTCCCTTGTAATAGCTTATACTATATAAAATATCTATCAGAAAAATGCAAAAATTACTTAAATAGTTACTTAAAGTAAAAAATTATTTAAAGTATTATTATGTAATTAAACAATGAATGTAATCATCTTCGATAAAACTCTTTCAAATTTTAGTGCATTGTATCATCTTTACAAAAAGCCTAGAAGAGGTGTATTTCTATTATTAATAATTGATGAATAAAAATAATTTTCCACAGCTCAAGGCCAAGTAATATTTTCAAATTTGCATTATATTGTTATACGTGTCCTTCTCTTTTCTTTTTGACTTTGATAAATTGGAGATCTTATAAATAATACAATAGTACGAATTTTACAGTCGAAACACTTGAACGCAACACCGGTGTTGTTAGGCGAAATCCCGCATCCTGGCGTGGGACCAGCGACCAAAGAAGACTCCCTGGTGCACCATGCTTACTACCAGTGGGTGCCCTTCGTTCTGTTTTTTCAGGCGATCTTCTTTTACGCGCCTCACTACCTGTGGCGGAATGTTGAAGGTCAGTCCCGCTATAATACCTACCAACCCATCCTGCATACCTTCGCACGCATAGTACATAACCTTCAGTCATCTGACTTTCTCTTATATAGTTAAAGTTATATATATATATATAATATATATAACTTTTTACATACATACATATTACATATTTAAATTACACAATTACATATTTAAACGATGAAGATCTTTACTGTAATTATTTTCTAATTTCAATTTATTTTAATAAATGACACGTGTAAATTAGTTTGTTCTATATATTGTATATAATAGAATATAAAAGTAGAATATTTCTACAATAATCTTGGGATATAATATACGTATAATATAATATATATAAAAAACAAAATGGAATACCTATATAAATATAAATGTTCCAAATACGTATATAATTACTTTTATCATATACAATACTTTACGGGGTACTTTATGCGCTTTACTTGTTAAGGAAAATTAAAATTATATGCATGCGATGTATACGCTGATTGAATGTGAATATTTAAAAAATATTTATAATGACACGATTATCCTATCTTTTTACGGTAGCTCATTGTTACGGAATTAAACGAATAAAAGAAAGGAATACAAAAAATGAAAGAGATATTAATTAAACGAATAAATTGATTGGTCCAGGAGGTCGGTTAAAAGTGTTGGTATCTGGGCTACACATGGCGTCGTTGGCTTTGCGTGAGACGCCTTTGACAACTGAGAACGGTATAACCGTTCCGTCAATACATGACCGTGACGAGAAAATACGTCAGATTCGACATGCTTTTCTGAACCGTATCCATTTGAATCGACCGTGGGCATACTACATGGGCCTCTGCGAGGTTCTCAACTTCATCAACGTCCTCATGCAAATTTATTTAACCGATTGGTTTCTCGGCGGTGCTTTCCTCGGTCTTGGCCAAGCTGTAGCGCGCAATGGCTTGGATGGGGAAGTCGACGCGCTCGACATCGTCTTTCCTAAAGTATGTTTCCCAGTACAATGCAATATTAAGAACTCTATTTCCATTCTACATTTATATTTTTTCTTTTTTTTTTGTTATTTAGTTTACATTCACAATTTATCCGATTTGGACATTTGGTAGAATTTACATTTATGTGAACAGTGATTGACGAAAGTATTTGAACGGCTTAGTTTGGAGAACTTTTACGAATACGTTACATATGTTACACAGTATTTTTTAAAACTTTGTTATCAGGATTGTAATGAGATACAAACCGTGTCTCGTTATGATGCTAATGAAATTTCACATTGTTTTGTATAATACATATAGTACGAGACATTGAGAGTAGAAGTGAGCTAAGTCGCGATAAAAGGAATTCATACGTAACACAATGAAATCAATTGCTGCACCGAATTATCGTATCTATTTTAGACGGCGAATTACTCAGTTGGTTGAATATTGGCGTTAGTTCACTTAGTTAACAACGTTAGTCCAAAGTGACTGTAGACGATTCGTTTAAGATTAACGAAAGTTCACTCGTATAGTAGATTATCACACATAGCTACTCGTATGGTAAATTATCTAAACAATGGAGAAGACTTTAAATAGTTGGAATTATTACGAAATTTTTATCTATTTCGTAAATATATTATGTATAAAAAGAACAAAGTTTTTTAAGGATCATTACAACGATTAATTCAAACGTAGTTAATATCAAAGAATTAGAACTAAAACTTCGGACTTTTTAGTAGAAAATCTGTTGTTGTTTAAATAAAAATTCCTTCCGAATAAATGTTTCAGGTGACGAAATGTACTTTCCACAAATTTGGTCCATCGGGTACTATACAAAATCACGATGCGCTATGTGTCATGGCGTTGAACATCGTTAACGAGAAGATCTATATCTTCCTTTGGTATTGGTATATCATTCTGTCGGTGATAACCGGTTTAGGACTGCTTTGGAGGTTACTGACTATGGTCTTGCACGCCAGGTTACTACTATTTATTGCCTATACCTATTCTACGGTTTATCGACCGTTGCCTTTCTTAGAATCTCGATTCTTCGAACTCGTACCATTGACTTCAGTTCTGTTAAATTGGCAACAATAATGTAATGTGAAAACTTTAGCTAGACTATGATATGCAATTATTATTTTATCTTCTGTAATTGATAATACAATTAGAGTAATGACGACGACTAATTAGAAAATAGACAGCAAGTTTTCGTTGTATCTTTAATTTCGAAGGAAAGCAAGTTATTTACGATTGAATATATATTACATAATTTAAGAAAAATGTGAAATAATTCAATATTTTTGGTTTTTCTAAATTTCAGTGTATAGCTTTGATATGCTTCCGAAAATAGACGATGGAATATTTTCTGTTCCTTTTCTTGTTTTCTTAAAATATTAGAATTATTTCGAATATTATTTAACGCTTTTTAACATTTTTATTAGTTTTATTAGCACAAGTTTAATTTATTTAATGCTATCTAACAAATTTTCTCATGTGATCAGGAGCGTAACATTCAACAAGTTGGTCTTCTCCATGGCTTGTCCCGGCAGATATAATCCGTGGAACGTGTTGGCAGTTACCAACGAATGCCACTACGGAGACTGGGTGTTTCTTTATTATATAGCGAAGAACCTAGATAACTACGTGTTCAAGGAATTGTTGCAGAAACTTGCCGAGGACTTGCAAGAAAGACGTCAGATTCAACCTCATCTCTTTAGCGAAGAGAAACCGTTAACTAGCTGAGTTTCAGTCTTATCTTACTGATATCATCTTATGAGTAATATGATAATTCCAAATGATTCACAAGAAAACTGACTCAGACAAACTGGAGGAAAATTAAAGAAGTCAAATTACCAAAAAAAGCTATTGTTATATCAATGCAATAGAACTCTCATATTACTTATGGAATGATTCGATTATGTAGAAGCGTAGAGGAGCTTGCATTTTAATGACAGTATATTGAATTTAGGATTAATTTTTAAATTTTCCATGTCTTTAACCTGGTGCCTTATATTATAATATAAAGATATACTTGTATTACGAGTTGATGGTACAAACGTGATACATGCGAATTAGATTTAATGATAGTTATCGTTATACAATATATATCATATTTATATATTTTGCTATGACAAGAGGAAATACTGTTTATTTGTAATATTGTTCAATGCAAACTAAGTACAAGAGTATTCGAGTTGTGAATCTTTTAGCTGTTGCAGATTTAGTAAAAGTAACATTATAAATAAATACAAAATTAGTACACGTTAAACGAACGCCGGATAATTTAATTTATTTTAATTCGATGTTAATATGTAAATTTCCATTGTAAATATCATGTATCGTTTCTTGTTACTATGTCACTTTATTTTGAGAGTTACGTCATTCTAACCAACTGCGGTTCTCGAATCAGTTCGTTTCGCTATGTTACATCACTTCAGGGAATGCCAGATTGCGTATATGAAATTCGTTGTTCACCATTGTTCTTTCCGTGCGAATAAAGCTACATTTTCAAGTACGAACATTTATCTTAGAGAAAAGACAATCTACTCACCTTTACACCTGCTTTCTAACCAGTTCCTTTCAGTAGTTAGTAATCTTGTAAATGCAAGTTTTACTTTGCTGCACCGGAATTTAACACTAAACTTGCTAGGTTACCTAATTAAATAACCTAACCTTAATTTAAAATTGTACATTCATCGTTATTTCTTTTTTTTTTTATCATCTAACTTTATGTAAATTCTCATATTACTTGATTAATCAATTTCTCAATTCTTTTTTTGCTTCTTTTTTTTACTAAGAAAAATTCATCGCCTGATTCGTTTATCGCGATCGACCATTTTACCAATTGACAAATTTACATCTTTTTCTAAAGTTCTCTGCCTGGGACCTTAGCTCTGAACTCAAGTAAGATCTAACCAGTTGCATACATCTGAATGCGGTATGTATTTGACTTCGTCGTAAGCACTTGAACATACTGATAGAGTCCATGTCAGGTAACACTCAAACACAACAGAATCTTATCGGATGCTCTCAAGAAATACTTCTCAAGAATATACTCTCTTCATAATGAGTTCTCTATAGCAGCGGTTTTCAACCTGGGAGGCGCGAACCAGGGAATGCGCCAAAAGCTTTTAATAAAATATTAATTTTCGTACCATAACATCTACAAACAAATAATTTAATATAAAAATAAATATACATGTTATGGCAAAACCTTACTATTATTCTGCTAATTGTAGTTTTCAGTTTCTTTTTTGTAATAAAGTTTTTATTATTTAAAACGCGTCTATATTATTACATCTATTAAAAAATAAATGGTATGGAGACGCGAAAAAAATTTTTTTTTCGGCGAGGCGTAGTAGCATAATGGTTGGAAACCGCTGCTCTATGCTAAATGAAATCTAAATACGGTATCATTTTGAGAGTTACAAAGTACAGACCGAAGCATACGAGAAATGAAATACGATAAGGAGCGAACAAATCTCATAATATTCAGTACATTGGTTTTGTATTTTGTTTTACCCCTGAATATGTCCACAAGTTCAATGAGGAAGTTACTGAAAAACATACAAAATACGTTTAGATGGACGAAATTCTAATCAAATGACCGGTTACGGTAAGAATAGTTATATGTAAAGCGCCGATACGGTTAGTGTTAACGAATCTACTTTTATTTTATTCTTATTGTCTCGTCTTGTCTTGTTATCTCTGTATTTTGGTTCGATATATGTACTTAATAAATAATCTACGCCCGTACTCTAGATCCATCTGAAGTGTACCGCGAGTAGGAACTTATACCGCTTTAACCAATTTTATACCACTTACAAGATGGTTTCGAGAATGGTAAAACTATGGCGCCACTTTTAACGTATCAATCGACGCTTGGGGGCGCCGGAAGCCACGCAAAATTCATATCGACCGTAAGAAACTTTTCTCTTAGGGAACGAGATAAAACACTGGCTCCTCCAAAACTGGGGACCTCAATATGCATTTGACAATTATAATTGAGTTATTACATTTATCATAATACAATTATAAATAATTGTGTCAGGATGGCAAAAGTTTAGATCACTTAATAACTCGCGAGTATCTTTCAAATAGCTCATACTCATCGTTGTGTCTCAAGAATACTTACATATTTGTATGCACCGATACTTGTATGCAGGTACTCAGACTATATTAATCTGACCCCTTTAGCTGGTCGACAACAGTCGAGATTATTAAACTGTAGTTGAAGAGGTTTATTGACTTTGTAACACGGTATTCCTGTCGAATCAGAGCATTTACGTTTACATATTTAATAACGTCACCTTCGAGATAGTCCATACATAGAACGTATCATAGATAAATATGTAAATACATTGAACTTTGCAATGAACTTAGAAATAAGTCTTACCTTATCTTCTCTTCTTTTTACATTCTCACCTTATTTACAATTATTGCAATGTACATAAAATGTTAAGGAAGGAGGATCGATCATAGACAATGAAACAAAGAGGAAAGTTGGCGTGCAAAAATATCGGTTGAAGTATCGTTTTCAAGCTATAAAAAGAGATCGAAGTTTGCAATAAAAACGCCTGTATATATAAAGCTGAATCCAAGCAGACATTTGTTTCACGTAATATTAAATTGAATAACGGATGCTATACTTTTGCATATCATATACGTTTTTGCATGTATAAATTTTTCATAAATGCATAAACACCTACGCTTTACTTATTCATGAGAGTATTTTATTCTGCATCTTCTTTCGTTTAAAATAAATTCATAATACATTTTATTATTGTAATATCATGTGTTAATACTAAATAAATTTGTCTGTTACAGAGTCAATGTCGATCAGACTTTCACTAGTACTGTGTAATTTGAATTCCTATTCATGTCAAGGTACTAATTTTCTACAATTTTCTATTACTCGATAAAAAGTAGCTTGCAAATTATTATCGTTCTATTGGTTAACTGGTAACGACTTCGTTCCGATTTGTCTTGGAAATCATAAATCTTGTTTTCTTAGGAACAGCCAATGTAGAAGATTAATGAATCATTTCAAAGTAAATACAGGAAACAGAATTTCATGGAAACTGCAAACACAGTAGATATTGCGTCATTTATTGTACCAATTGTTTTCAATTTTTCACTTACGTTTAAGAGATTGAAATTTAAATATCCTAACAGTAAAGCTAAAAAAAATTATCATATGTCGTAACGTAGATATCGATGGACGACTGTATCATCAACATTTCAATTGAAGAAACTGATTACTCGACAACTGTTAACTCGTTATCGAGACCTAACGTTTAGGAAATATTTGAACGTTTATCAGCAAGAAATATGGCAATTGAATCAGCTATTAACGAACCATGTAAACTAACAATAATATCTCGACATTTTACAGATTACAGGAAAGAGTAAAATATGACAAAAGTGTAATATTTAATTTGCCACAATCTCTTCTTAAATGTCATTTCGTTATTAAATTAATTAATAAATATTAATGATGTTACAACATGCCATATAAAATCATTCTGGAATAATTCAAATATTTTAATGTAAAATATATTTAATATCTCTATTTATATATTTAGTTAATTGTTTATTTATTTATCTTTTGTTACGAGTAATACTAAGTAAATGTTAAAAAATTATATTATACCTAATAATTAAATAAGAAAGATATACCTATATATAAATAATAATTTCATTTATTATATAGCGACAAATAAAAAGAAGGCAGGTTTTAAGAAAATAAATTCCTATAAATCAACGTAGGTACCAATAATCCTTTAGAACAGCCTTAAACATGCAAATAAAATAAAAAGAACGAAGCAGTGTCACTCATGGTGTGATTATACATAATAAACATTATGCAAACTAAACATAAAGGAGTTAAATACGACCAAACGATTGTGTGTATTGGATCAAGAGATATAAGCTGGAAAATCAGATTGCGAGATCTTTGTTCGTTCCTTTTGCGTGGGAGGAAGAGTCATCACGACCGGAACACGGTCCATTATGTTCTCTCTCACAACCAGGAAATGACGACTGCACACCGTAGAAAAGAGGAGCATACCAGGAAGGTTCTTTGATGATCGTGACACGCGTGCACTTGATGCAATGTATTCTGTTAACTACTTTTACATGTATATTCTCTACTGCATGTTCTACGTATTGTAATTACTAGACTGCGGATTTGTATGCAAATTCATACTTGCATAGATAAAATTAAAAGAATAGGACCTAGCCAAAAATTTGTCTTATCTATTAAATGTCACAAAGAGTACTATGATATAAGAGCACTTTGGGTATTTTATACGGTTTCTTACCTTCAACTTCCTCTAAATTCCATAAAAATCCGCAATCTAGTAATTACGTATTGTAAATTTTATATTCTATCAACACGAGTGTCAATAATAAATGATTTCGCTTACTTTATTTACTTACTTTATGTACGTAGTATTACAACAATGAAAATGTTTGAAATGTTTTATTCTGTACGAACTTTCAAAATTTTTTTATATTTTCTTCCATTTAAACCATTTGTATATTGTGCCTCGCGTTGGTATTTGATTATTTCCAGGAACTACAGATACTTTTACATTTAACGTTTTGTTCCTTTACTTCTTCGACTTACTTCTTCTTTACTTCTTCTCTTAAAGTAACGAAACATGATAATGACAATTTTACAAAATCCTTTTTAAATAATTTATACTTTACTTATACTTTATACTTATATACTTAATATAATATATAATATAATATAATATATACTTTATAATATATACTTTATAATTTATACTTATACTGCATGATGTGATATTACAATTATTTTTAAATTCTAATCTCTTTCTCTTTTATACAACATTCTGTAACATACGTCGATAGCGACGATAACGATAATAAACGCGTCATGAAATAAGAAGAAATAAGATTCTGAAGAAAGAATGTACATATTAATTGTCTTATGTAATATGTCTATGATTCAGGTGCATGTAAATAATTATTAGCGTATATCTATTAATACATTAAATATGGTCTGTAATTTTTCATTTAGAGGTTAACAATTTTAAGATTATAAAAATATTTCAAAGAATCGTATAAGGCACACTGAACAGTGAAATAGGAGTAGAAAGTATAAAAACTCCGATATACTGGAATAACGAGTTTATTTGGCATTTTAAGCAACGTTTCTACGAGAATCCTGCACGAGAAGCATAAAATTATTTTAATGTATTATTTTCAAGATAAAATTACGTTCCATAATATATCTGCACTTTTCATATTCTCTCAGTTATTTTTCTCTATCTTTTATTGTTGTGTTTTTTATTATATTTAGCTAAAAATACACGCATCATGTTCTTCTCATGTTCTTTGATTCTCTGATGAAACCAATAATATCAAAGCATTCTCTACATTACAACTTACCATTGCCACTTTTATAGAGATGTGATGAAATACCGCAACAAATGATCTGCCATGAGCTGTAAGATATCGCTGATTCCCTTCTACTACAATGTGGGTACTGGGTACACGTTCATGGACTTTCAAAACGTGTCAGATACTGACTCACGAGGCGGCAGATTTATTATATACTCATACAAGCTTGTCACTATCGTTAGTCAGTTCAAAGGAATTCTTGGCTGTGCGATAGGAGTTTTATTGTGGAACAAAAGGAAAGGAGAGAGTTCGAATTTTGTGACAGGGAATGGCCACGAAACTCTTACAAAATAGCCTC